TTTAGTTTAAAAAATACAACAAAAAAACTACTCGTTGTGCTGCTTGATGTTGCAAACTTGAATGTTCTTATTATATTTTTGTTGTTTAATCTGAAACACACTTGTTTATAGAGCAAATACTTTGGATGGCCAAAAAAAAAAAAATAAAATCAATAGCAAAAAAGTGCTTACTTCCACATTTCAGAATAAAGTCAACATTTTATGTAGTTTTCAAGAACAATTTGTTAAAAATGACTTTCGTGAACTGTAATTTTGCAGTGCCTATTTTACTATTAAACCATTAAGTGCTTAGTTAAATCCGAACCTCTTCAAGGAGTGCCATGCAGTTCCCTGTGTGTGTGTGTGGGTGCGTGCATGTGTGTTAAGAATGCAGGAAGGATGAGGATAAATACGTCACAGTGACTGATGTCTGATTAAACGCTCTCTGCTGCCCAGGGCTCTTAGAGAACAACAATAGGAGAGCGTGAAGAAGAGGGCAGAACTAAGGAGAGAGAGAGAGAGAGAGAGAGTGTGTGTGTGTGTGTGTGTGTGTGTGTGTGTGTGTGTGTGTGTGTGTGTGTGTGTGTGTGTGTGTGTGTGTGTGGCCTGTTAACAGTTGTCAGGTGAATAAGAAAAGCCTGAAGCAGCAGATCAACAAGACTGCAAAGAGTTTTAAGAAGAGGTGGAGTTGCAGATCCATCGCAAACTGTCACCTGTCACACTTACAAAGCACAACTGAGAAAGAGGAAAGTGCAGAGGTTGTAATTCACATGGACCTAATCAGTGACCTAATTATTTACTTATTTAATAGTTTTTTTCTGATTATGTGTATGGGCTGCTTTTAGATTATTTCATTCATGTTCCCATTTTAATTGTTATCCACCTTTTCAGAAAGTGATTATTGGGTTTTAAACTATTGGTTTCGCTCTGAGTTGGGTAGCTGACATTCAAAGAAACTGAAACAAATGGTTTGAAATGAAAAGTCTGTATTACAAATAATTTAGATAGTGAAAAGTAAGAGTAAGTTAGAGTAAGAGGATGTTTGACTTTATTTTTATCATTAATGTCAGGATATATGTGGCAAGAGCTCTTTCTTTGTTCCTCCAGAATTTTTTTTTTTTTTATATTAGTTGCAGTACAGTAAGGTAATATTGCAACACTTTACAATAACTACACACTGAATCATTTATTAAACATTATCAAATTGTAAATTCATTATTTGTTAAAGTTTTTATTCTATATTTATTGATGTTAGTAAGCACTTTATAAATATAACTACAAATGTTGTATTCTTGACTTGCAAGCACATGTATAAACGATAATGTGCTTAATTATGTTGGTGAATTTTTTCATTTTTAAATTAAGTATTGCATCATTTACAAATCAGTTATATATATATATATATATATATATATATATATATATATATATATATATATATATATATATATATATATGTGTGTGTGTGTGTGTGTGTGTGTGTGTGTGTGTGTGTGTGTGTGTGTGTGTGTGTGTGTGTGTGTGTGTGTAAATGTAATTGATACAGTAAATGATTAATATACTATTCAAATTAATATATCTTATTATTCATTTACTACTTAATATTATTTACTATTAGATATATAAATAGTTACTTTGTATGTCAATAATAGCTTTATTAACTCAACTTAGTCCAGTTTTGTCATCTAATCTAAAATAAGGTCTATTTATGCTTCTTAAATCCCTTATAAATTACAATTAAAGGCTCAGTTATATACTGTAAAACCCAAAAAGTTATGGCAACTCAAATAATTTGAGGATACCAATTGCAACAAACCATTTCAAGTTAATAAACGAATCCTAATGAGTACTGTGAACTTAATCCATTTGAGTAAATGAAGCAATTTGAGCACAGTAAAACCCGATAAATGAAGGGAACTCAAACCAACTGAGTACTTTAAAACCCAATAAGTTAAGGCAGCTCAAACCATTTGAGGAAACCGATTGCAACATCATTTGAGTTAAAAAATTGTGACTAAAAAAACTCAGGACGTCAGACAATTCAAAGTTTTAAAAGATGTGTTTGGACGACCCCTATTGGTCATTTTTTGATCAGCAGTATAGGCAAAACTTTATCCACTTAAATAGAAAGACTTGATAATGCAAAAGGCAAATAATGAAAAAAAAAAGAAAAACAAGCAAAAGTAAAAACAATAACTAAGAGGCAACTCCTCTCAATGTATTCTTAATAAAACATACCATCATTCTTTTCGCATAATAATCATACACATTATTTTTGTATTACTTATTCTTAAACACTTTTTTACATTATATTTTTTTTTCATAAATTTGATCAAACTAGCATGATATTGATATTAAATAATGTGAGAAATATATGCCACATATTTCTGCAACTGTCCTCCTCATAGCTTTACAGTGTCAATATTGGCAGTCAGCTGAGGTTTCAGAATTCTGTTGACGAATTCATACAAACACAATGTAAACTTTTCCTTCGATTAATTCCATTGTTTGTTTTTTGGCGAATCTGTTGATCTCTTTATGTAACTTGTCATCTGCCATTTGAAACCCTTTACTTAAAAATAAGATATACTAAATTTTAAAACGTTGCCAAGTTAAATACATTTTACGTTATATGAAGACTGTGTAACATTTTAGTTTATTAACAGTATGTACATGATGCAAATCAACACTCTTTTACTACACACAGAAAGAAGCAATGTTTCATTACTGAATGATTCTGATTTTGTGCGTTTATAATTTAATAATTTGATTAAGAACTCATTTTAAATGAATGTAAAGAAAATTGCTTTCTAAATTAAAAAAAAAAGTTTCTAAATGAATTAAATGACAGTAATTCACTTCCAAGATGATTGGTAAACATTGACTTGTACTTCCCATTGGGGGTCATTATTGACTTGTTTTTTCTCCCTCCTATCGAAGTCAACGGAGTGAACAACTATAAATTAATTAATAAAAACTTTAATAAATAATAAGCACTCGTCATTTAATAAAATTAGAGATATGCTGCCACCTGCTGGCGATTTTAGTTGGACTAAGCCTATACAAGCACAAAAATACACTTTTAAAAGATTAAATTATCCTTTTACAACAGTCGTTCAAAAAGAACTTTAAGTATGCATACTTATAATAGTGATATTAACAACAAGATCAATAGTTACAATTATTTTAAAATGGGCAATGAACAAGTTCATGACAGTTTTCAATTGAGCTTCGTGCATACACAAATCATTATGGCCATGATTATTTATTAACTCCTTCAGACCCTGCGTCCATTACAATAAACATCACATGACATCCCATTTTTCTGAAATTGGGAACATAATTTAGGTCTGAAGGGTTTAAACATATTAATCATAATATGTTCCCTCATTTCACGCTGTTATAGTATTTGGTTCAATAGTTAATTCAAATATGATTCCGCTTTAGGCATAAAATACTTATTATATTTTTTCTCAAAAGACTGTTCATGCTGTAAATACATGCAGAATACACTAAATATAAAGACCTTGGTGCATTTTGGAAGACACCCCTCACAAATCTCTCATTTCAATGAATATTTTTGACAGGAAGCTCTACAATATTATATTTGTGCATATACATTAGTCAGTACTGAAGCCAAATCTGGAGCTAATCTAACAAAATAACTTATGATAACGGTTCAAAATGAATAGGCCAAATTTATGCCAGGGACAAATATTTAGTAAACATTAAAAAAAAAAAAAAAAAAAAAACTAAAAAATGTATAAAAATATGTTGAAATGTTGTAGTTCGGACATTTTTTCAATACTTTACATGGATTTAAATGTAAAATATTTCTATTTTTAAAGATGTTTGGTGACTAAAATATTATTGTAATAAATATATTCGTTTTGTTCAAATGCACCAAAATACATTGCCTATATTCACAAAGAAATGGATTGAAATATTCATTTTCAAATGAAGTGTACTCGGTTATGTTGAGAACTGTATTTTGTGTATTTTGCTCTCTTGGAAGTAGGATCTGTGTTTTTGACTCACTCCTAAAGTGGAATTATACACAACAAATGTATTATATAAAGTAAAGGGACTAAGCTGAAAATAAAATGAATGAATGAATAAATATAAGGTAAACTGAACCCATTATTAATGTTATGCAAGAAACAACTCGTGGATGCGCTAGATACACCCTCAAATATAATATATTGCTAAATGCCTAAATCTGATATAAGGGCATTTTTATTCTGCTGTAAATTGTTGTTTAAATTACTGTCAAACTTTTTAAGCCAGACGCCTGATGGCATTAATTGTGCGTATTTTCGTCATATTCTTGTTTTTAAAAAGTGAATGAGAAAGTCAATAAAATATCACAATAACATAGTTGACAAATAATGAATAGTTTTGATCTATCCTAGATATTTAGTGCACATGAATGAGGGAAGAACCTTCCAGAGTTTCCCTATAGAGGAAATAACATCGCTTGGAGCAAGGTACATGCCTTTTTCTATCATTACTTTAAAGACTTGTAACAGAGTTGACCATGAACATACATGGACTAACACAAGTTTTATTACTGAAATCACAAATAATACAAATATTTCATGCCAATATTTATTTAACAGAAACATCTGTTAAAAATCTAAATTAGACTTAATTATTTCATGATAATTAAAGCTGAATGCATGATTCAGGAGGTGGAGACTGTCAAAAATATGTAAATATGTCCCTAAATACACATAACTCGATATAATTTGTGTCCTTATTCAAAACAGTTTCATTAAAGCTTTTGTTTTTGAAAAATAATTGAAGGTTTGTCTTGGAGATGCAAAATGTACCTGCGATTCTAGAATCACCTTTATAGTCCTTAGCCCACTTAACCAGCTCGTCAGGACAAAACACACATTTCAGTAATAAATCCTATTCATAACCTCAAGACAGTGACTTCAGAAAAAGGGCTTATAAACTGCGATGGGAGGTACTGTGTTATCAGTAGTTTATTAATATGAGGAAATGAAACTAAACCAGAAATGATTTCAGTCTCTTTTGAACATCTTATATATGCACACTCCTAAATAAGCGTCAGTGTTGAGTTGAAGGCAAGAAATATTGGCTGTAAGAAGTTTAAATAAAAAGGTAGGTCTTGTTAATTATCAGATTTATTGGGTATATGAAATGTTAAAAAATATATTTACATTAAATACCTGTGTGCTTTTTAAAAACAAAAATGCTTTTCTTTTTTTAGTACCTGTGCTCTTTAAACATGAAGTTTATTTGTTTGCTGCTGCTAACTGCTTGTGGAATTAAAGATTCAAGATCAGGTAAATATATGAAGGGCTCACATGTTGAAGAAAGAGATGAAAAGGCATTTAATAAGTAACTTATGTAGGGCACTTTGTACAGTAATCTGGTCATTGTCCACCTACAGCATACAGGGATCAACAACCGTACGTCATGCTTGATACACAAAACTCACATGAAGAAATATACATCAAAAATAAGTTGGAGTCAAAACTTAATATTGAAAACTAAATGGATTTTGTCTTGATTTTTGGTTCAGTTATTACGAAGCTGAAATGTAGAAGGAGAATGGACTGTGCTTTATTATGCTTTTTCTATTATTTATTTATTAAGATAAAAGTGTTTTGTGCTGCTTCTTACATCATTCTTACAACTTAAATGAAAAAAGCTGCCTGAAAGGGGTAGTTCACCCAAAAATCCTCATAATTTACGAACACTTACTGGTTCTTAAATTTCTTGTGAACGCTTTGGGAAACGACTATTTTTCTTCGGTGCATCTTCAGTTTCTTTTTAAAAATACAAAACTCACTCACACACACTCACGCACGAAGTTGTCTGGGGCTTTTTATTTTATTTGTTGTTTATTTTGGCACACTGTTGTTTTGCAAACGCACACAATTAAAAATATATCAGACAACAACAACAACAAAACAGTATCTTGATGTATTTTAGAATGTCAAAATATATGATATATCAATTTGTGAGGAAAAGAAGAAAAGATAAGCTGAAAATAAATGTCTATGGGGACATCTGCTGGACAAATGTGGAAATTGCAATTTCTTATTTTCAACCAAAGAACCAACATTTTACAGTATATTCTTTTATTTTAAATTCGACGGAAGAAAGAAACTCAAACAGGTCTGGAACATGTACATGATGAGTAAATGATGGCAGAAGTTTTTTTTTTTTTTTTTTTTTTTTGGGTGAACTATACTTTTAAAACTTCTAACTTAAAAAATAAAGTTTAAACCTGATAAACTTATTTAAGGTAAAGTAACAAGAAAAAAGACTTTGAATTTAAACTTTGTACATGACCAGCCTTATGAGGAAATGTAACTATTTTGTCAATAATTTGTACGAATTTCAGTTCGGTCGTTTTTCAGTTTGAGTTCAGTCATACAAAAATGTATGCTTTTTAAAAATAGGCGTGGCACCAAACCCCACCCCTAAACTGAACTGTCATTGGGGGAGACTAAATTATACTGAAATGTACAAATGAGACCATACAAATACATACAAATTAGCCACTAAATCCAAAAGTTATAAATTGCTGTGAGATAGCATTGACAAGACTTGAGGCTGATTTATACTTCTGCATTAAGCACCCGGGTATGCTCCGGCACAGCACTCGCCTGGTCATATAGCCCATGATCTAGGCGCAAAGTCGAAAGCGCAGGCGCAAAAGCATTAAAGGCATGTCCGAATCCACTTTTGTTATTTTTGCTATTTTAAGGATGGAAAAATACACTCTGCGCATGGTCTAACAGGGTTGTGCTTATTCTCCTAATGAGTTATGGGTGTGTTTTGAGCCAAACGTATTAGAGTCTCATCACACATTCCCTTTAAGAGTCACATTCGCTATTTACATGGCGGACTTTGTAAGTGTAAAAACTGAGCGCTTCATTAAAAAGAAAACAGTTAAACAGACTATCTGCGTGAGGATAAGAACAAGCCTCCTCCATTTGGCATGTTTACTTTCTCTTTACTTTTGTGGATGAGGAAACGGTGTTGTACTGAAGACATCCATTAGCCTACATATTTAATTTCATTTGTTAAGCACAAAGATTTGTTTTAAAACTATTTCTAAAATCAGTTCTAATTTCCAGCAAACGAATAAATGAACAATAATAACAAAGTATGTTCAAAAAACTTATATCTGAGCTATATCAAAATACACATCTAATTATTATGCCCCATATTGGGGATGCATATGTCTCCCAAACCCAATAGGTGGACAAATCTGAACTTGTTTTTATTAAAACAAATAGAAATATACATATAATTAATGATACTTATAATAATAATAATAATAATAGCAGTATACAAATTGTCATTAATAAACTGAAAAAAGCCCTGAGGTGACGAAGGCATGGAGGCAGTAGTTTTTATATTTATGTAGAAGAGACAAATTTTTGTAATATTAATTATTTTTTCGTATGTAAAGTTATTTGTGTATTGCTCTACATCCTTTGTGTATTAAGCAATGTGTAAGCGTTTGGCCTTTGCGCTGTACTTTAGACCAGCTTTTAGTTGGTCAATGGCACAGTCTATTTCAGTTTTTCAAAATAACAATGCGCCAACAATGCACCTTAACACGCCTCCTTTATAGACTGGCACACCCATGAGTCCACAAAGTGGCGTAAATGAATTTGCTATTTAACAATATTTTACAATGTGGCACAATACGTAAAAATAACTGTTGCTCTGGTCAGAAAATAGCAAGACTCCGCTGGGTCAGTTGGCATTTCTGTGTGGAGTTTTCAGGTTCTCCCTATGTTTGCATGTTCTCCCAGTTCATTCTGCTGTGGTGACCCCAGATTAATAACGGGACTAATCCGGAAAAAAAAATGACTGAATGAATGAACTGGTTAAACTTGTTTTCTCTCTCTTTCACAGAGCAGTATGATGTCATTGGAGCTGCAGTAGCTGTATTTGCTTCAGTCGGAGATGACGTGATTCTGCCCTGTTCAGTCAAACCCAACATCAGTGTTGTGGACATGATAGTGGAGTGGCGGAGATCTGATCTGAAAGACTCTCTGGTGCATCTGTATGAGGATCATGAAGACAGAGAAACAGAGCAGAACGAGTCCTACAGAGGGAGAACACAGCTGATTCATCCAGAGCTTCAGAGAGGAAACGCATCCCTCAGACTTTCATCAGTCAAAGTGTCTGATGAAGGACGTTATAAGTGTATTATTGGGTCTGAATCCTCGAAGCATGAAGCCACAGTCGATCTTACAGTTGAAGGTAAGCAACTGGTGGGTTATGGATTTTACATAAGTTAAAGGGGACCTATTAAGAGAGGGGTTTGGATGCGATTCTGGTGCAGTGCAATCTGAGCTGCATCCAATGCTTTTTAATAGGCTCACCTAGCCCTACCTCTAACCCTACGCCTCTCAGTGATGTCACTTGCTCCATTTGAGTGCATTGTCGCTGACATTGCATCGCTGAGTGATGCATTCTCACCTCATAAAGGCTGCATCCAGATACTATTGCCTATTATGAAAGAAATCACTTTGATACGGGGTTTAAACACAGTTGTGTGGCAACAGTGTGCATATAGCCAGCTTCCAATAGGAAAAATGTATTATTTTATTTTTCATAATCACACTTGATTAAAAAAAAAGTCAGAATAGTGCAGAAAAACGTTGATTGACATTTTCCATTTGTACATGTTATCAGAGGGGGGAAGCCCCACCCACTAGTGATGAGCTTTCCCTCATTAGCATAGGACATTTGTTTTGTTTTTGACTCTGACACTTTGCTGACACATTTAGATTAGTTTTACCTTCAGCTATAAAGCAACTTAAATAGTACAACCAACTTTTCTACTTTTCTTTTGAGCTAAAAATTTAACTGTCTATTAATTCAAAGACCAAAGAATCAATTAAAATAAAATAAAAAATAATTTAACCACTCATTTGTAGCTCCGTTCTCTTTTGAAAAGAGGTCTGGGAGGTCATTAAGCCGCCTTTCCACTGAACATGACATTTTGACACGACTGTCGGAGTACACCCCCTTGTGGTAGTCGCACAGAATTTTCAGTGTTGTCGTGCACCATGGGAGAGAAGCTCAATTTTCATGGTGTCCAAAATAAAGTGCAAAAAAAGCCTTTATTCTCTGTGCATTCACCATGATTTAATGAATGAATTAATGATTATTAGAAATTCATAGACCGCTAAAAATTTTGGAGGGAATGTGGAGATAACATTTTAAAAATTAAAATTTTTATTACTCCTTTATTCACCTTATTCTTTGCCGACGAGCGGGCGCAGCCATTTCATCTTTTAGGCTCGAGACTTCCGGTCTCATTCACTTCCATTAATTTTTAGACATTAAAAACTGCTCGTTTCGCTGTTTGATGTTGCAAACTGATGTTATATTGTTATATTATTCTACTTGGTCTACATAGTTATGCAAACATTTGTTTGTAGAGCAAGTAGTTTCACCGTTTTCTGCCGTTTATTATTTCTTGTCATTTCTCCCATAGGTGACTGAATCGGAGGTTCTAAAACAATCGCGAAAACAGGCGCACTTCCGCATTTTAGAATAAGCTCAATAGAAATGTTTTTTTTTTTTTTTTTTTTTTTTTTTGAATATAGACCTTTTTCTTATTCCAAAAATAAAAAAAATTTCTCATCTCGCGCGCACACACCTGCTTGGGCAACACTGAAATATATTACATCCGGTCGGCCAGTTGCATACAATCTAGTCGCAGGAGTTAAAATATTTCAATGGATCCGCAGCTCATTTCAGATCCGAATTTTCTGCATACGAAGATGATCGGAGCTCCACGCAGCTCCCGGACTACTCTCCATCAGAAATAAATGACTTCCGGCCTGTCGCTTGTTGTGTGCTGTGTAAAGGAGTCTTTAAAGCGCCAGTCACCACAACGGCACAATTTGGATCAAATCCTAAAAGAAGCAGTTTCAAAGAGTTATAAAGCATTATTTGTGAGGTATTTTAATATGGTATTTTAAGCTGAAATTTCACATACATACTCTAGGGACATTAGAGGCTTGTTTTATATCTTATAAAAAGGGGCATATTAGGTCCGGTTTATTTTTTGTGTTTTTAAGTATGCAGTACTGTAAATGTATTTAAACTCCCAACACCATTTGGTGTAAAGACATGCAACCAATTGCAAATTGCTTATTTATTATAATCATAATATTACAGCCTTTAAATAAACACTCTGCATTTTTGGAAATAGGCTCAGAGTTGAACAGTTTTTCCATTTTTGTAGCTGTTTAGCTTAACTTAGCTTAGCGTAGGTCATCGAATCAGATGAGATCATTTGGCCATTTTTTTGTTTTTACCAAAAGTGTTTTGATAATTTTCCTATTTAAATCTTGACTCTTCTGTAGCTGCATCATGTACTAAGACTGACAGAAAATTAAAAGTGGCTCTTTTCTAGTCTAGGAACTACACTCTTATACCAGCATAGCAATCAAGAGAGTTTGCTGCTGTGCCATGATTCCCAGCATGAGCAATGATATTATATAGCACTGTTACCTAGTTACTGCTGGGAACTATTTCCATTGCTCGTCTGTATGGTATTTTTTTTTCCATCACACTTTATTTTATTTGTACAATTCAAGCAATGAACAAACCATTAACTAAGACTTTTATTTCAGTAAACTACTAATTAGCTGCTTAGTAATAGTTATTAGTACTGTAGGATCAGGACTCCAGGCTAATCGGCTGGTCATGTCTGTTTTGTTTGTTTGTGATAGCCACATATTCTTTTGTTTGTGCTTCTCCTGATTGTTTCTTATGATGTCCTTGACACTGGCCTGGTTCTGACTGTTGCTTGATTCCCCTTTAACCTCCCTCTGTTTTACCAGCCAGTCTAATTTTTGTTTCTGTTTTATCAGTTTTTCTCCCCCAACAATTCCAGTGACAAGTCTACAAGTATTTTCTGATTTTGACTGCCTGCTGCATTTTTTCTTTCCTGTTTGTTGGACTGAGTTTTTGTAGTTTCTTTCCCCCTGAGACTGAGACATTGGCAGTAGAAGAATTTGTTTTTGTTTTTTGCCATTATTACTAATGGACTAAACCATCTGATTTTTGCCCTGTTTAATAAATAATTTGTTTTCACCTGCTCTTGGGTTCTTTCCATTTACTGGTCCTGACAAATGGTTTGGTTTAGGTATTGGGTCGGATTAAAGATGTAAAATAAGACCATTCTTTATAAGTGCTGATAAATAGAACATATCTTAATAATCTACAGGTAATAAGTCAGTAGTTAATGCAAATTTTGTACCTAAACCGAAGTGTTACCCATTTTTTAAATTGGATTTTTAGTTCTTGCCTATTTAATCAGCTGTACATAGGTTAAAATTAACAACGATAAAATAACATTCATGCAGCAAATGTTGTTGTTCGTATTGTAGCTTTAGGATGGGCTCCGGTGATCACCATAGATGGATTTAATCCTTCAGGAGGGCTTCATCTTCAGTGTGAATCTGAAGGTTGGTATCCTGAACCGCATCTGGAGTGGCTGGATCATGAAGGAGTCAGTTTGAGGCCAGAAACTACAGAGACGCACCAGAAAGCGGGCATGTTCAGCATCAAACACACAATCATTGTTTATCACAGCGACGACAAGATTCACTGCAGAGTGAAACTGAAGCATCACATGCTGGAAGCACAGATCATCACCTCACGTAAGTCCTCACACTTTAATTCAAACATTTTATGTAGTTTTTTTATGGTTAAACTTGATGAATTGTAGCCAGGTTGTGGTCTTACCTCTCACTTTGGATTACATGTGCACTACACTTTAAAAAATATCCATAAATTATAGCATTTTTTTTTTTATTTGTAAGTTGTGATTCATGCTTTTATGTTTCCCCATTTATTCATGATGTTGAATTGCATTACAGAACCTTGATCTTTTCTCCAACAACTTTCAACCTTGAAAAGTGACTTTTATTAACATTTTTGATAGTTTAAAGCAGAGATGCCTAAACTAGTGATCACGGGCCAAATTTGGCTCATGGTAACCTTTGATTTGACCTGCCATCAAGGAAATGATGGGGATTATTTTGAGATTGTCAATTCAAATTTAAAGTAACCTTTTGTCTGTTTATTGTTAAAAGTTAAATTCAGTGTTTCAATTAAATGGTGTAAATTAATTCGATTTTGTTTAAAATGTCACCCCACAATGCAGAGACTTTGGTGAGCAATGGCAGATTCTGCTTGACTAGTGTATTTAGCATTGAACTCCTCTGTGTTATAAATGTGATTGTTTGTTTTTGTTGCTTTGAATTATCATTTAAAAAGTTATACTACATTAGTATTATGTAGGTTTACAGTAATGTGTTTTATTTATTTTGAAATATTATTAAATAAATTAAAAACCTTGTAATAAACTGCTAGTACATTTTCTGTTATTTTATAGACATATTTCTCTATTATATATTATTTCTTGTACATTATATTATTTCAAACTACTTAAATGTCAATAAAAGTCACATTGTTAAACTGTAGAGTTGACATTTCATCAAAAGTTGACAGAGCAGAGATCGACATCCCGTAATGCTATTGACAACCGTAAATAAACGGAACACTTGTTTATTACAAAATACAGAAACTGTTATTTTAAAATATATTTCTTTACAGTGTAGATGTATATTATTTATATGTTTCCATAATCATTGTTTTATTATTGTGCACACATTTGATTGTCTGCTTTCACATGCAGAATGAGTCTCTTTAATTGTAAAAAAATGTTTTAAATGAATTATTTGGGCTTTGAATTGATGGACAATTAATTGTTTTAGCTTAACGGGCAAGCAGACGAGTTAACTGTAATATTAGTTTTGCCATACAGTTAACAGTAAAGCTAATCTAAATAATAATAAATAAATAATTATTAATTATTAACATTTAATTATTTTAGCTAATTGCTACACAGAGAAACTGGTCAATATATATTATGTGTGTGTACAGTACAAATATATCATACTGTCATATTTTACATTATTAATTGTTTTTAATCAAAAGACTTGCACCGTCTGTTTTGCCTACATTTTACTTTACAGGTGAAGTGTTTAAAATATGGAGGACAACAGCCGTCCTGATTTCAGTTATAGTTGTGTTCAGTGGTTTTGCTGCAATGATGTTTGCTGTGCTTCTGCATAAATACAGAGGTGAAAAATTTATATTTGAGCTTGGAACTTCACACTTTTACATTATTTCTCTTCACCAACAGTAGTCCAGCAGTTCTGTTTCTTAAAGTCAGAGTTGCACTCTTGATTTAAAGTCTTTGTGCTTCCACAAAAAGGCAAAGTGTATGTACTTTGTCACATGAAGGAAAGTTTTTATTTAAGATACATTTTTCCAGTAATGTATTTTTTTTTTTTTAGCTTTTTATAAGTACATACTGCAAGTTTGGCTTATAAAATAAATAGTATGCTTTATAAAAAAAAAAATTAAATGCTGTGAATCAATTAATTATGAAAATGTTTTTAACCTCTTTAAACGGAAAATAATTGAAAAGGTAATTGCTACTTTTATCCTGCTTTTCTCTTTTTTTTTTATCTTCCTCTCAGTTTACATCTCGCAGTTATTTTTTAACTTAAAGCCATTTAAAGTCGTTTTATTTTTGTCATGAATTCATTTTCTGGTCTCTGTGCATCCGCAAAAAGGCAATGTAATTGTTCTTTGCCACATAAAGGGAAGATTTGTATCTTAGATCGATTTTTCCACTGATATATATATTTTTTTGCTTTCGAAAAATGCTTACAATCGCCGGCCACTTTATTAGGTACACCTGTCCAACTGCTTGTTGATGAAAATTTCTAATCAGCCCAATTTCCGATGTCTTCCTCTCAGTTTACATCTTGCACTTATTTTTTTAAAGTTATTTATTTTATTTTTTTGTCATAACTTCATTTCACAATTTAGATTTTTTATTTTTTTCTTAAAATAACAAGTATATATTTTGCAATTGTTTAAATCTCACAATTCAGATTTTTGTTCTAACAGAATTACAAGAATTGCAAGAACAGTGAGATAAGATTTGCAATTAGCATTTTTGTTAGGAAGTTTTTTTTCTCAGAAAACAGTCAACTAAAGATTGAGAATAAGAGACTAAAACAAGGTCAGTTTGCTTTTTTTTTTACCTCTACATCAGAGAAAAAAACAATTAATCCAGACCTTAATTGTTAACTCTGCTTTGGTTATATATAAAATAAGGGTGTTTTTAAAATTGTCTTTATAACTATAATAATACAATTTGAGAGATTGTTAACTTTATAGCATTGCAAATGTGACAGTTGGATGTTTGCATTGTACAGTATGTATGCGTATTGTATGTGTATTTAAATTATTTAGTTACCAGATGCATGTGATGATAATAATTTCTATAATAACATCTCAGTCATAATTGTATTCAATATCTGCACTTGGTGTTTATAAAAAATTATACAAGTATTCTTTTCTTTAACTCCTTTAGAACTTGATCAACTTTTACAAAGTCAGAAGACACCAGAAGGTGGAGTATGTTTTATGTGAATTTATTAAATAATATATTTGTGTTTTTGTTACATGGATTGTACCAAAACTTTTTAAATATATACAGTGCTCATCATAATTGAGTACACCCCATTTTTAAAAATGAATATTTGTATCCATTTCTTAGTAAATATAGCTCACATATTTTGGTGCATTTAAACAAATCAGGTTTTTTTTAAAGTGTACATTTATTAAAATAATATTTTAGTCTTTAAACATCTTTAGAAATAGAAAGATAAAACATTTAAATTTATGGAAAACATTGCAAAATATATATATACAAACTTCACAACTTTAACAATCTCATATATTTTTTGTTTCTCTTAATTTTTGCAATTTGTCCGTTTTTATTGAATATTTTCTTCGACATATAAATTTGGCCTACTCATTTTAGGACCTTTATTGTAAGTTATTTTGTTAGATAAGCTCCAGATTTGGCTTCAGTACTGACTAATCTAATGTATATGCACGAATACAATATTGTAAAGCTTCCTGTAGAAAATATTAATCTAAATGAGAGATTTATGAGGGGTGGACTCATACATGCTGAGTATATATGTTTATAGATTATTTAATGTTAAAATAAATTACACTATAGTTGTAAATTTGTTTTTTGACGTTTCTTAATAGAACAGTCTTTAAAGTAAACATAATGTTGTAAAGCTGCCAGTATTCCACAACAGGACATTGTTGATCAAATATTATTATTAAAAAATATGTTATATGCCTTTCTGTAAATCAGGATGTTCACTATTTTAACAGTGACTCTTGATGCTGGGGATTCAGGTAAAACATGTCACACTGGACCTGAAGATAAAGAAATTCTTGTTGACAACGCAGATCCATAAAAAGATAAAAATGAAGACAAATCGCAAAATGACAAATCTGATGACGGATGAATTTATAAGGGAGGTCTGTTTGGCAGGATGTATTTTCCCCCCAGTGTAGGAAAAAGACAACTGTAATAGTTTATTCCTGTATTATTTGTTGTGTGTGTGTGTGTGTGTGTGTGTGTGTGTGTGTGTGTGTGTGTGTGTGTGTGTGTGTGTGTGTGTGTGTGTGTGTGTGTGTGTGTGTGTGTGTGTGTGTGTGTTTTAAATATATATGTTGAAGTCAGAATTATTGTCCTCCTTTGATTTTGTTTCTTTTTTTTTTTTTTTAACTATTTCCCAAATGATGTTTAACAGAACAAGGAAATTTTCACAGTCTTGTGGAGAGAGTCTTATTTGTTTTATTTCAGCTAGAATAAAAGCAGTAAAAAAAATAAAAAACACATTTTTAAGCTCAATTATTAGCCCCTTTAAGCTAAGATAGTCTGCAGAACAAAACATCGTTATACAATAACTTGCCTAATTACCTTAACCTGCCTATACCTAATTAACCTAGTTAAGCCTTTAAATGTCATTTGCTGTATAGAAGTGTCTTGAAAAATATATAGTAAAATATTATTTACTGTCATCATGGCAAAGATAAAATAAATCAGTTATTAGAAAAGAGTTATTAAAACTATTATGTTTAGAAATGTGTTGAAGAAATCTTCTGTCCGTTAAACAAGAAATTGGGTAAAAAAACTAAACAGAGGGGCTAATAATTCAGACTTCAACTGTATATTAAATGTATACAAAATATTTAGAAATTGAGTATAATGCAAATATTACTGTCAACCTTCTTATGACAGTGATTTGATGTTTCCTAAAACACATTTACAAAGATATGACACAATTTACAGTATTCAGTGTGAATGATTTCAATTACATACTGCTGTAATTTTCTGATAAATAAATATCTGTGAGGCATTTTTACAATATAAGTGTATAATCTTAAGTTCACTAAAAGTTGAATAAAACCCAATTCAATGTTAAAATAGGCTATAGATGATAACACATTATACATGAAATATACATTTATATAATCCTTGAAGATTGTCTTCAGTTACACTTGCTTAAAGCCTGACATGAAAACGTTTTTAAAATTCCAGACCCTATTTCAAACTAATATTTTCAGTAGTCCAAATGTTAATCATCAGCATGATTTTTAAATACAAAACACATGAATATACTTACATATTTTATTATATTGTTTGTTCTAGCAATTATGAATTATTACATATTAATTAATGTTATTAAAATGTATCTGTCAAAATGTATTTATCGAATACGACTTGCATACGACAATAAACTTGTCTTGTCACTGCTTGGTGTTAAAATGATCTTTTGTCTTCAAGAGATACACAAAATCTACACCCTAAGAAATGTGCTTCAATGTATTTGTTGTTTTATTGGTCATCCGTTGTTGGTTGTGTGAGTGTAAATTAGACTAAAACTATGGTAGTGCTGTTAGGGCCTACTCACAATATGCCATCCATAGCGTGCCCAATTCTGCCTAAGTCTGGCACATTGCTAATCGTTTCTATGAATGAACGGAGCTGTTGAGATTATCTGACAGACTGCTGATCACAGCGAAAGCAGGACTCACGACACACACCGACACACACGGGACGTCTAGATGAGTGATTCAGAAAAACAGTTGCGTAACACCACACTAGATGTGTCGTGTGTGAATATGTGAGCTGTTAACAAGTGTCTATAAACAAAATAACTGATAGTAAATACCCCCGTTTTATAAACCATACTTTAATTAATTGAATTAATCCAACACAGACTCATTGGAATATACAGTAGTCAACATTTGAAGTGGATCACAACCTTTAATCAAAGGTGTCCTAAAACTATTGAACAACGTCCATTCTTGTCTTAAGGCAACTTTGAAAGCGTTTCTTATTCAAAGGTTGATGTATGTGCTTCAGGCTATTTTGTGAAACCACGAAAACACTTCAATATATGTTTGGCTGCAGATCCACAGTAAGATTAACGCCACATTTATGAAATGTAAAATATGTGGCTCCAGGCGTTTTTTGGTTTCAACGTTTAGACGACAAATCAAATCCACTAGAGGGTGCTGTGCATTGTTTTTGAGAATTTGAAATGTGTTTCTCAGTAGGCTATGGGGTACGTTTTTTTGTGTGTGTGTGCAAAGAACTACACCAAAAATAATCCATCATTGGTTGATGATAAATCCATATAAATATCATTAGTGTGAAAAGGAACAAACATTGTTGGTGTCATACTGGCCTGTACATTTCCAATGAGCCTGCGTTGGTTTTGTGGGGAATGTTGGGTTCAATACAATCATTTTTTGTTGGGACAACATGAAGGAATTAAGCTAACTTATTAGTTAGATAGTGAATATGATATACAGTTAAAGTCTGAATTATTAGCCCCTCTTAGAATTTTTTTTCTTTTTCCCAAATGATGTTTACACAATTTTTTAAAGGAAATTTTCACAGTATGTGTGATAATATTTTTTCTTCTGGTATAAGTCTTATTTGTTTTATTTAGGCTAGAGTAAAAGCAGTTTAAAATAATAATAATAAAAAAAGATTATTAGCCTCTTTAAGCATTTTTTTCTCATGGTCTATACAGAACAAACCACCGATATACAATAAATTGCATAATTACCCTAACCTGCCTATAACCTAGTTAAGCCTTTAAATGGCACTTTAAGCTGTATAGAAGAGTCTTGAAAATGTCTAGTCAAATATTGTTTATTGTCATCATGGTAAAGATAAAATACATCAGTTATTAGAGATGAGTTATTAAAACTATCATGTTAAGAAATGTGTTGAAAAAAATCTCTATGTTAAACAGAAATTGGGGAAAAAAAATAAACAGTGGAGCGAATAATTCAGGCAAGATAATTCTAACTTCAACTGTAAATGGATTAAACTGTCCCACCAAAAATTCAAGAATTGAAACAGCAAACATAATATTTTGACTGTATATGGCTCGCTTGGAACCTCATCTGACACAGTACCAGCTACTACACTGAAAAATGATGTCTGCTAAATTGTTACAAATAATTTATTTGTGTTGAATTGAAACAAACAAATGACATTTAGTAATGTTCAATTTAATTTGTTTTAAATTCATCTCAAATAAATAGTTTACAACCACTTAGTAAATCCAAGGAATCATCTTTGAGTCGTTTGTTTCGGTGTAGGTATGAGATGCAGTAGAAAAGCTCCCAAAAGCTAGCCATATAAAAACCAAACTGTAACCTGCAGTGGATAATCATTTAGGCATCTGGTTTCAAATCAAAGATTTCCAAAAATACCTATAAAAATGATGACAACTTTATCTAGAAAGGTAAACAGAAGCAAAAACACAACTCATTTTATAAATCAAAGTAAAGATGTGTGACACAGAAGCAAAATCAAACACACAGCTCTAGAATTACCCAGAGCTCTGTGTCTAATTTAGTATTGCACGGACTATGGAAAACAAACAGGATTAGTTTCATAGCTGCACATGTGAATGTGGCCTCATGTTGCCTTTGCGCTGATGATGACAGCTGCAGTGTTCTGGGAAGAGGAAGGACCATCCTGTGCATGTTTAATCATCTTATGATGCTCAGATCGACAGGCGTATAAGAGCAGAGTGTGTGTTTCCAGAGAGCAGCATCTTTACCAGCGCAGACAAAAGACCAGCAGGTGAGTACAAACACAGCACAACATCGAGCATGGAAAGACTTGAAAGTTCATATTTGCTGTAGTTTACTGTAATGCTGTATGTTTGCATATATTCATGAAAAAACAAAAAACAATTTTGAGGGATTTTGCTTTTCCGGAAAGGGTATATTAATAAATAATGACCAGTTAAGTATTTAGGAAGAAAATATGAAATGTACTTGTAATATGTAATAATTTCATTGTATTGTTGCATTTATCAAGCAAAACATCAGTTGTATAGGTTTAAATTGATGAAATGGTTCATATAGACTATTTTGAGGCATGTAAACAATAATAATGGTCACAAGGTATTTCCTGTTTTGCATTTTTAGTTTTGGTACCTTCCAAGAATCCAAAAAGAGCCACACATTGAGAAAGAATGTTATGATAGCTGTTTTAACATTGAGTTATGATTGAATCGCCTCTTGTTACAATTATGGAATAATTTGACAACAAGCAGGAAATGTTCATGGGCCACTGACATGACCACATTGAAATGGTCTATGCTTAAATCAAATATTAAGTACATGATAAAATGTGATTACTTTTTTTTTTTTATCAGTATACCCTCATTACTTTAAAATTATTAAGTAAACAAACTAGGTCTTATTATATAAAATTAGGTTAAATAAACGTAACCATTTCAAGTTACAAGTTTACTCCCCTTTTTCTAAAGTAAAGTTAACTTGTTGCTTTTTAATCTCAAGTTTTTAACTCATGTTTTTTTAATCGAATTAGTCGCTTTTTACATTGTAAGTTGGTGCTTTTTGTCAAGTTTGTGGAATGTGTTTATATTTAATGTTCATTCAAAAGATAATGTAATGACAAAACTTTAAAACACTGTCCTCAACACTGAGAAAAAACAAAACAAAACTGCTGTTGAAATCATTTTCCCTGAGAAGTCGCTGGTCTTAATTTTAACACTATATTTTGAAATAGACTGAAATAGGATTATCTAGTAAACAGTTTTACTATTTATAACAATAACAGAAAATATGAACTATTGGTGGAAAGCCTACTTTATCCCAATTTTTAATTATTTAAAAATATTAAGTTGATGAGGGATAAAACATTGACAGCTAGTAAAAATAGGCAGGGCAAGGCAAACTTTATTTATAGAGCATAATTTTACACAACCATAGTTGATCCAAAGTGCTTTACAATAAAATAAAATATTTAATAAAAAATTAAACTTGTATTTAAAATATAAGAAAAGGAAATACTGTATACATGTATACAGTTGAAGTCAGAATGCTTAGCCCACCTTTGAATTTTTAAAATAAATAACATGCAAGGAAATTTTGACAGTATGTTTGATAATATTTTTTCTTCTGGAGAAAGTCTTATTTGTTTTATTTTGGCTAGAATAAAAGCAGTTTAAATTTTTTAAAAAAACCATTTTAGGGACAAAATTATTATTAAAACTTTAAGCTTTATATTTTTCTGATAGTCTTCGGAACAAACCATCATTATACAATAACTTGCCTAATTACCCTAACCTGCCTTGTTAACTTAATTAACCTAGTAAAGCCTTTAAATGTCACTTTAAGCTGAATAGAAGTGTCTTGACAAATATCCAGTTAAATATTATTTACCGTCATCATGGCAAAGATTAAATAAATCAGTTATTAGAAATGAGTTACTAAAACTATTATGTTTAGAAATGTGTTGAAAAAAAATCTGCTCTCCGTTAAACAGAAATCAGATAAAAAATTAAATGGGAGCGAATAACTCAGGGGGCTAATAATTCTGACTTCAATTGTATGTAATACTAAAATACAGATAAAAAAAATAACATGCATGTGTCACTCAAAGGCAAGAGAGTAAAAATAAGTCTTAAAATTAGATTTAAAAGCATTTATTGATGGAGAAATCCTGATGTTCAGAAAGAGACTGTTCCAAAGCCTTGGGGCCGCAACACAGAAAGCTCGATCACCTTTTGATTTGCAGCTAGACAGAAGCACAGACAAAAGAAACTGCTCATGGGATCTTAATGGTCTACAAGCTGTATGCGGCCTCTAGGTTTTTGATTGATGTGATGTGGATGCTATTTAGATACTGTTATAATTATCATTATTAATGCTACATGAGCAGGTCTCTTAATGTGATGAACTACACCAGGTCGGCTCAAATTTACACAGATAACCAACATCCAGTAAAATAATATTAATAAAAAAAAACAGCATCTGAGATGCAAATAGACATTTGCTTTGATATATTTTGTTTATGTAATGTCATTTTAAGTACACCTTAAATAGACAAATGGACTTACTGCTTTAATTGTGACAGAAAAACTATTGCATTGCACCATATTTCCTATTAAAAGCAAACAATCCATTTTTATCTGTGCTTTAGCTTATCAAACAAAGACTTTGACTTGTAGACCGTCCTGCTTATCGTGCATTGACCTTCATCTAAGGAGATTAATTGAGAAACCTTCTAGACAGCAGATTACAGGTGGGCCTGTAAGAGGGATTAATAAAAAGATCTCGTGGACACTGGTGGCTCGGGGATTTATAATTATTATTTATATGCGCAATCTGCTGCTGTGATCAAAGCAGGTTCGTTCCTCATGTTCTCTTTATAAACTGATTTATAATTTGCACTTCCATTAAAACTTTTTTTTTTCCATTTAGTCATTTAGCAGATGCTTTTGTCTGAAGTAATTTACAATTCAAGAGGCATTCAGCGATTCGACAAGAAGAGGCAATACAGAAAGTGCTAACTATATAAAAGAACTATTAATAATCAGATAATGAAGTGCTAGAATAAGGAGGGAGGAGTGGTTTTGTGTGTTTTGTGCAAATGTGCAAGTGTCAGAGTTGTGAAATGATTTTTCACAGGTGGTTTGTCAAGCCCACTCACCGAATTTAATAATGTTTAGAGGTTGTTGTTTTGTGTGGAGTAATTGTATTAATTATAATACCATAATAATAATAAAAAAAATTGTAAAATCATTTTTATTGCTTTTTTATTTTTGAACGCTTATTACTGTAATTATTAAAATAATTAAAATTTAAGCCATGTAACGTCCTATAATTAAAGACTTTCTTTTAACTACTTTTATATTTTTAATTTCTTTATAATATTCCTTTTAATATTATTATTATTATTATTATTATTATTAATTTTAATGTATCATTTTAAATATCTTCATGCCATTGACAATGCAACAAAGTGTATTATATAAATAAATATATCAACAGTATTGCCAAATGCCAGAATATCTTGTTTAACGCCCTCATTCTTTTACAGGTCATCATCAAATCATCACTTTACTCCATCGGTCTCCTCGTAAATATGGATGTTTCCAAGCCTAAATCGACCAGCAAAGGTGCCACACGTGCCACAGGACCTGGCAGTCCCCACAAGGGCCCACCTAAGTTCAAACAGAGGTCAACACGCCAGTTTAAGAGCAAACCACCCAAAAAGGGTGTCATCGGGTACTACAAACTACTTTAAATGTTTAAATCATTCTTGAATGAATCTGCTTGTTGCAGTTTTGTTAATATTATTATTATTATTATTATTATTATTATTATTATGGTACATTTTTTATTTTTAAATAAAACATTTTGTTAACACTTTATGTTGATGGTCCCTATTGCACATTTTGAAAGTAGCATTGCAACTACATTCCAATTACTTCTCATTTAAGTATTAGTAGACTGTCTGCTTAATATCTGCTGATACTGATATAAGAAACATTGTATGTGTCAACTTACTATAAACCTAACCCCAACCTACCAGTCTACTTATAATCTATTAAGAATAAGTTGGCATGTAGATGCAATGTAACTTAAATTCAAGAAAATGCTTGTAAATAAATAAATTGATACCATTATTATTATTTTTTTTCCAGATTTGGTGAAGAGATTCCTGGAATGGAGGGATTGGGAACAGGTATCAACAATTTTAAGTCAAACATATTATTACTATATATGCATTTTCTTATATCTTCTCTTCTATATATTCATGTCTTTTAAAATGATGTGTAATTGTATTTCAGACTTTAACGTAATCTGTCCATGGGAGGCGTACAGTCACCTGGAGTTACATGAGCTGGCTCAATACGGCATTATATGATATATTTTCCTGTTATCCTGGATCCACCAGCAACATCCTGCACCTTAATATGTACATTTACAATCTCTTTAGCAAATGTTTGGTTAGTCACAGATAGACAGCATTTGTAACTAACTCAAATTAGTTAATCTACCTCTTCAAATTGAAGTTTCATGTAGTACTACACTTTCAAAAAAATTTATCATTTTACGGGATATTTCTGGCAGCTGGGGTGCCGGATAAAAAACTTAAAATTACGACCATTAAATCACTGAAATATACTGTAAAATAACGATAATAAATTACAAAAATTTACTAGAAATTACATTTTAAGGAAATTTCTGTTATTTAACGGCTGTTATTTTTTCGTATTTTTTCAGCCACCCCATCTGCCAGAAAAAACATGTAAAATTACGGATTTTTTTTTACATGGTAGATTTCACTCTTTCGCCAATGATAATCTCAGACACTTTTTCTTATTCCTCATTTTTTACTTCATCATCTTACCTAATAATAGTATTGTCTTATTATTATATAATGGGCATTATAGCTGCAACATCAAGCTTTAGTTTCCATATAAATATATGGAATGTAGCTGGATCTTTTTAATGATGGATGTTTTTGTTTTTATTTTGTTGAACTGGGACAGTTGTGTCATGTACAGTATCAGTGTGTGTACAGTATGTGAGTGTGCTGTGGGTCTCAGCGTCTGCCATAGCGCGAGTACTGGGAGCAGCTCTCTATGAGAAACCGGCCCAGTTTATTGGCCTTATGATGCTGGAGAATCATACTAAAATGAGCTCAACTCATTCCCAGCAGCACAGAATATTGTAGGTTTGGACGTCAATTAAAGCTTGATTATTTTCATAATTTTCAGGAATCTGTCTGAGTGATTGCTGAAACTGTTGCCTTGAAGGGTTGCACTCTCAGTCTTGGGATGTATTCCAGTCCCAATGTTAATGTCACCATGCCCTTGCTAATGATTGTGTTCATATGAAGATGCAAATTAAATTTGTGCACAAAACTGTTGCATAAAGCATTTGCGAATAAAGCAGCATTTCCATCCAGTGAGTCAAAGAGAACAAAAGCATCACTTCCTAATGAATTGCAGCCAAATATCAAAAAGATAAATGGATTTTTTTTTTGCAGTAGAAACCACCGTAGGCCTTTTTCTTATTTAATAAATTACTTGTGCCTCAGAAGAAAAAGACTTCTTAATGCGTTGTAGTTTTTGGAAAAAAAAACAGATCTGGCACTTAAAAATAATGAACCACTTTGATTATGGACTTTGGCTGAGGGATTTTAGAATAACTAAAGCAACATTTCAGATGTTGCACAGTTTTGTTGGTCTGCTGATTTGTCTATTAATTCCATCATTCACCCTTTTTGTTACCACAAGATCTGTTAAAACTAAATCACAAGACTTTTTTTGATACATAAATAAATATAACCAATTAAATTATATTTATTGGTGCTGTAATATGCAAGTTATTGACTCCTCTAAAGCATAAAATAACCACAATATGTTTGCAGACATAAGCAACATGCTAAGGGAACATTCTTGTTTATCTAAAAAAAAAAAAAAACAATGCTGAAGTCAGATATTCTGCTTTGAAAATGTCTGTTTCGTGCTGGAACACCTCTTTGTTTTGGTCATTTAACCCACCCAATGCCAGTTTAGCACCCCAAGTTGCCTTGATGGAAAAAATCGAGCATGTACTTGTTATTAATATGTGACATCCAGTGGACAGTAGCAGACTCCGAAATGAGATGCAGATTCAGAGTTCCACATGAGGTGATTAATTAGCAAATGATATAAATATTACGAATGTAAACATTAGGTGAGCAGGTTACATTGTAACCCTGTGTCCTAACAACACGCTACTTGATGAGATTTGCAGTGATAAGCAATATGGCTGTTTGCAATAGATGAAACACAACAGAAATTTAAATACAGCCATTTAGAAGCACAAAATAGTGCACTTATCGCACTCCAACAAAATGGTAAGGTTTAAAATAATTAAAAAATTAAACCTCTTGAATATTATTAAATGTAGATGCTGAATCACTGATACGTGTTGGCTTGCACACAGTTCTAAAGTTTAATTTCAAATGGTTTATTTTATTTTTAAGATCTGAGGTGGAGTTTTAACTATCTGCTGCTGCTTTCAGTTGTATGGCAATAAATGTCATGTAGAATGGGATTCAAACAGTATTTAACACTGAATAAAGCACATGAGGTGTACCCGAGGCGATCACAGTTTATCCTGTGGTTCAGCTGCAAGAGATAGAAGCCGTTTGTAAAATATCAATTTCAGGTGTTGGTTAGAACTCATTTTAATAAGGAAATTATTCCTTCTATTGTGTGCCCTTATTTTAATTTAGAACAAAACTTAAATCAGCCTTTAGGCTCCATCGCCAAACTCACTTGTTCCTCAATCTGGCAAGCTGTGTGTTTGTTTTGATCCAGGAGTGCAATACCTCCAAACACTGGGTGTCAAACTTACATACTGCACCTTTAATTAAGTGAAAACACTGCCTACCGATGCTTTGATTTGTAGTTTTAAAGGGATAGTTCACACAAAAAATGAAAATTTACTCAAGTGGTTCCACATTTTTATCAGTTTCTTCTGTTGGACACAATAAAGATTTTTTGAAGAAAGCTGAAAACCTGTAACCACTGACTTTCATGGTAGAAAAAAAAACAAATACTATATGGAAGTTAATGGTTTTACGTTTCCAACATTCTTTTAAATACTTTCATTTGTGTTTAACAGAAGAAAAGAAAGTCAAACAGGTTTGGAACTAGAGAAGAGTCCATAAATGATGACAGAATATAGTTTTTGTAGGGTGAACTGTCTCTTTAAAACCATAAAGGAGTCTGCTAAATAGGTTTTTAGTAATCGAAAATGCTTGCTTTTACTATAAAAAATTCTTGCTGCCTTGATTTATTTAGTTGAACCAAATGTACTTTTCTTGTCATCTTAATTTAATCAAACTATAAAAAAACAACTTAAAAATAACTTAAAAAAATAAGTTGAAACCTTCTTAACTACTTAACAAAAAGAAGTTGAAGCAACATAAAAAATTAGTTTTCTTGAGTTTCTGTCATTATGTTTTTTAATAGTCATACATGACTGACTACACCTAAACCGAGAAGTTGCAACGATCAAAACACACACCATAAAAGCTATATATTCTGTAGGGCAAATGTCTCTGTAAAGAAAAGTAAATAGTCATAAACATGGATTTGGTCACATTCGGCTAAGGGTGTGAACTCACAGCTTCCCTTATGCTATAAATATAGTAGTGAAGGGCAGCTGTACAGTATGTGGAATAAAACTGGAATTTAGCTTTAAAAAAGTCAGCCTCTTTTCCTCTTGTGTTTAAAAACAAGGCATGTCATTTATTAAAGGCTCCTGCTAAGGTCAGATGTTTGATGACAGATAAGACCGACAAAGAGTTTAAAAGTACAAGATGAAGATAATAAAAACTCCACCCTCTTAAAACGTACAAGGAAGTAACTGTTTTTTTTTTTTTTTTTTTTGCTTCTTCTTTTTGTCTTGACAAAAGCCAAAAAAAGAAGAGAAACCCTCTGAGAACAGATTTTTGTCATTCTCTCAAATATCTACTGGTGTAGTTCGCACTTTGAGAATGGCTTCAACTACTGAAAGGGATTATACTTGTCCTTTGTGTGGTAATATTTTCAGGTTTCCGGTTATTTTGTCGTGTAGTCACAGTTTTTGTAAAGAATGTCTTCAACAGTTCTGGAGATCCAAAAAACCTAGAATGTGTCCTCTTTGCAAAAAATCATCAAAAGCTGATCCTCCTCTCAATCTTGCGTTGAAAAACCTGTGCGAGTCGTTCCTGAAGGAGAGAGATGAGCAGCGTTCATCCATGTCTGAGGATATCTGCAGTTTACACGGTGAGACGCTCAGACTTTTCTGTCTGGAGGACCAGCAGCTTGTGTGTTTAGTGTGCAGAGATTCACAGAAACACCTCAACCATTCATTCAGACCCATCAGTGAAGCGGTTCACTTGTGTAAGGTAAGAGACTTATATCTGAGCATAAAAACCTAATTGATGGGGTAGTTCACACAAAAATAAAAATTCTGATATCATTTACTCACTCTTGTTCCAAACCTGTTTTTTTTTCTTTTTTTTTTCTGTTGAACACAATAGAATATATTTTAAAGAATGTTGTAAACATGTAACCTCTGATTCTGTCTGTAGTGGGAAAATCAAATACTATGAAGGTCAGTGGTTACAGGTGTTCAACATTCTTCAAAATAAAACGTCAGACAAGTGAAGTGTTTCTGTTTTCTTTTGGTGAACTGTTCTTTTAAATCAGATATTATAATACTAGAAAACTTGCATACAGTAGTATTGTTATGAATCACACATTTTTGAGGAATCTCTGATGTCTTACAGATTTTCACTTTAACTTCTAGGAGCAGCTCAAAACAGAACTGAGGTATTTAAAGGGGGATCTTCAACAGAGAGAATGGGTGAAAGTAGCATTTGAGAAAACTGTTCAACACATCGAGGTGAGAACTGATTCTTCAGATATATTTGCATGTTTTATTTCAACAACTTATCTGTGTGACACAACATGCTTTCTTATTAACTTGGGGAAAAAGTTTATAGGTAGATAGAAACTGAATGGCAAGTGTTTAAGCAGAGTTGGCCCATGGTAACTGTTGATTTGATTATTGAGGGCGAACAATGAGAAGGTGGTTGGGGGTGAATGCCTTTGTCAGAGATTGTCACTTCAAATTTAACGTAACCTTTCTTGTTTCTTTGTTTTATTGCTGAGATCCAACAAATCCAACTATAAATGGATCAGACCTCTAAAATGTAAATACTTGACAGATAAAGGTAAAGGCAGGAGCAGCTCGATTATTGTACTCAGCGTTGAACTCCATTGTGTTATAAATAGGATTGTTCCAATGCAATCTCACGGCAATTCGTAACTTTTTGATTCAGTGGCTAATTCGTATGAATTCGTATGATCTAATTCATACAATTTAGTGCGATTTGCTCATCACCCAATGACGGTTAGGGGTGGGGTTAGGTGCCACACTTTCTTTTTAAAATCGTACATTTTCGTACAACTAAACTGAACAAATTCATAAGAATTAGCCATTGAACTTACAAAACGTAAAATACTTTTGTTTCCTCATGAGATCAGGCTGGATTGTGAATGTTTTTACTGTAATAGGTTCATTATAACATCTTAAAATTATACTGCTTGAATTTATATGATTTGAAGTAAAGTTTTCTAGTTATTGTTAAATTTACAGAATAAATTAGGAAAATACCCATGGCAAAATTTAATATATACATTTTGGTATATATTCGACGCACGGACAAGTTTACTTTTCATGCCTTTTATAGGAAAAAGTTTGGGCTCCCCTGTGTTAAAGAGTAAAGTGCTGATGAGCCCTTTCCTAAAAGTGACTGAAGTACCGGTCCCACTTTATATTAAGTGTCCTTAACTACTATGTACTGACATCACAAAATAATTACAATGTACTTACTGTGTTTATAATGTATTTGAGAACACTTGTGGTGGTTTTGAGTTGGGATAGGGGTTGGGTTATGGACAGGTTTGATTGTATGGGTAGGTTTAAGGGTGGGTTAAGGTGTAAGGGATGGTCAACAGTGTATTTACAAATGTAATTACAAAAGTTAATTACAGATGTAATTACATACATGTATTTAATCAAGCATAAGTACACAGTAAATACATGTATTTACACAATAAAAGCTGATTTATACTTCTGCGTGAAACACCAGCGTATGCTACGGCGCTGACGCATAGCCCTTCGCCATGGCCGTCGGCATCACTGACGTGCACCTCTCAAAAAT